GGTCGTCACAGAGCACTGGGCTGCTGCCCACTGTCTGTCTGTCTCACACACAATAGTGTGTATATGCTAATGCTGTTCTTTCCATTCATCCCACCTCACCTCCCCCTGCAAGTCTGTTCTCTACATCTGTACCTCTATTCCTGCCATGAAAATAGGTCCATTACTACCACTTTTGTAGAGTCCATAACAGTATGGATGTTCCTTAAGAAACTAAACTCAGCCATCAGTTTCTAAGTAAGGGACTGGCTCACAGTGGTAACTGACTTGATGACTTAATAAGGTATGAAATATACATGGAAAATTCAGATTTGTGAAGGGAAGATGAAGACTTAGTTCACTTAACAATGTGAAAGAAATAAGTTTGCCTTATGTTTCAGTTTTAAAGTTACTTAGAGCATTTTATTTGACTCTAGCTGTATGTTAAAAGCTACAGGGGAAGGTGAGAAGCATCTTTCAACATTCATTTCAAACACTATAAACTGTTATGAGATATTTTATATTGATGAAAAAAATTTATCAATGCTAGGTAGGAAAAATTGCAATGTTTATTCAAGTTTACTTATATTCAAAGTGATTATCACATCTAAATTCATGAACACTCGTATTCATTTGCATATACTAGCCTTTTAAAAAGTGTCTTCCCTAATTCTCTAACCATGTCTTGAAAAACCAAATGTGTTTATGAATTATGAGATTTACCTTTTAGACTGGTATAGATAAGCTCTGAGGTAAAATGTTGATAGCAGAGTATCTCTACTTTGAATGGGAGGAAAATATAGAAGAAATATTTAAATGTGACAATAAGTAATATAATAAAAACTTTATTTTTGTTATAGATATTATCTCACCTTAGTTGCTAAGCATATAGGTTAGTTTCTATACCATTAATATTCTAATCCTCTAGCTTTTCTTAATACAGAAAGATATTTAATATAGTTCCTAAATAAGTAAAGTAGTCCTAAAGTGCTTTTAGGCCTGTTTATGAGCTTCTGTGTTGGCTCAGATGGTAAAGAATCTGCCTGCAATGCAGGAGACCTGGGTTTGATCCCTGGGTTGGGAAGATCCCCTAGAGAAGGGAATGGCTACCCACTCCAGTATTCTTGCCTGGAGAATTCCATGTACAGAGGAGCCTGGCAGGCTACACTCCATGAAGTCACAAAGTCGGACGTGATTGAGTGACTAACTTATATTAGTTATTTGAATAGTCATTAAAGAGAGTGATTCTAATATAATTGAGATTTATCAGTCTGCTTTGAGGTATTATTTAGAAAAGTGATTATTTGCTTCTTTTAAAAAATGAGTCCTTAAAAAATTCAAAATAAAACTACTATGTGATCCAGCAAATCTTCTGGATATTTATCTGAAGAAAATGAAAATATTAACTTGAAAATCTGTAGGCACTCCAATGTTCACTGCAGCATTGTTTACAGTAGCCAAGATATGGAAACAACCTAAGTGTTGATTTATGGTTAAATGGATAAAGAGAATATGATACACACACGTACACAATGGAATATTATTCAGTCATAAGAAAGAATGAAATTTTGCCATTTGCAACTGCGTGGATGGACCATGAGGGCATTATGAAATAAGTCAGAAAGACAAATATGAACTCACTTGTATGTGGAATCTGAAAAATAAAACATTAAGCTCATATATAAAAAACAGATTGGTGGTGGCCAGAGGCAAGGGGTGAGGTGTTGGTGAAATGGGTGAAGGGGGTCAAAAGGTATAAACTTCCAGTTATAAAATAAATAAGTCATGGGGATGTAATGTACAGCATGTTGACTATAGTTAATGATATTGTATTGCATATCTGAAGAGTGCCAGGAGAATAGATCTTAAAAGTTCTCATCACAAGAAAAAAATATTCTGTAACTATGTATGGTGATGGATGTTAATGCTAGTTAATAATGGTGACCATTTTGCAGTATATAGAAATATTGAATCATGTGCATACCTGAAGTTAATACAATATTGTATGTCACCTATAACTTAATAAAAAAATGGAAGTCCTGATTACAAGCAGATATTGACAAATGGATTCTAAAAATTATATGGGAAAGCTAAGACCTAGAACAGCAACACGATGCTGAAAAAGAACAGAGTTGGAGGACTGATACTGTCCTATTTCAGGACTTACTATAAAGATACAGTATAATCCAGACAGCACAGTATTGGTGATAGAATAGAAGGTCCAAAAATATACCCACACAAATATAATCAAGTGATCTTTGACAAAGGAGCATAGGCAATTCAGTAGAGAAAGAATAGTCCTTTCAATAAATGGCACTGTGAGAATTAAGTATTCATCTAAAAATGAATCTAGATGTAGACCTTATACCTATTGCAAAATTAACTCAAAGTGGATTATACCTAAATATAAGACACAAAACTGCTGAACTTCTGGAAGAAAACTCAAGAGAAAATCTAGGCACCCTTGGGTTTGGTAGGTTTTTAGATACAACACCAAAATTATGATCCATAAAAAAGGAAATTGATAAGTTAGACATATTAAAATTAAAAAGTTATGCCATGTGAAAGACACAATTAAGAAAATGAAAAGAAGTCAGACTGGGAGAAATATTTCAAAACATATTCTGATAAAAGACATATTCATGATATAAGAAAAAAAAAAAACTCTTAAAATTCGGCAATAAGGAAACAAATACAAAGGGACCCAAGAACTGAAAATGCAAAGAAGGTATACAGATAGCAAATATGCATATGAAAAAATGCCAACATCTTTGTCCTTTGGGAGTTGCATGTTAAAACTGTGAGATCACTGAACACATATTGGAATGGCTAAAATTAAGAAAAAACTGACACTTATGAAATGCTGATAAGACTATAGAGCCAATAGGAATTCAAGATGGTACAGCTACTTTGGAAAACAATTTGGCAGTTTCTTACAAAGCTAAACATAGTTTTACTGTACAATCCAGCAATTGCACTGTTGAGTATTTACACAATTGAGATGAGTATTTACGTTCACACAAACACCTGAAGATGAATATTTACAGCCACTTTATTCATAGTCACTGAAAACTGGAAGTAACCAAGATATCTTCAATAGATGAATGGACAAACAAACTGTGATACAGCCAGAAAATGGAATATGATTACTGAGTGATTTTTTTTAAAAGAAACTATGAAGCCACAAAAAGATACGGATGAACCTTAATTGCATACTGCTAAGTGAAAGAAATCTGTCTGAAAAGGCTGTAAACTATATAGTTCCCATTATGTGAAATTCTGGAAAGGCAAAATTATATAGACAGTAAAAAGGTGGTTGCTAGAGATTCAGGGATAAAGGAAGATGGTTAAATGGGGAATTTTTTAGGTCCATGATAGTTTCTTGGTGGATACATGACATTATGTGCTTGTCAAAATTCACAGAACTTTACAGCATAAAGATTGAACCTTAATGTATGCATATTAAAAAAATAATTTAGGAGATTGGAGAATCTCAGGAAGAAATGAATATAGACTATGACAGGAGAATGTAACCACATTTTAATTGTATGGAACAACCTTCTTGAAGGTGTGAGCAAGGACGAGTGGGAGGGGAAGGTGCTAACCTAAGTAACTTTGGAAATGAGTCTATAAGACTAGATGCAAAAGGAACTACACATTATCATTATGCTTTTGTTAATAAAGTGATTTCCCAAGGGAGTATAACAAATTGAAAATTCTCATACCACTATACATATATTCTGGAATTAATAATTAACTAAATGGATGAGAGATGGTGAGAGCCAGATTTCTCCTGGTTGGAGTAGGAATTTTCAGATAAGGGGAGAGGTTACAATGATCCTTTTGGTGATAGAGTTGGAAACATCAGTTTGAACTCATGTTTAGCTTAATATAGACACAGATGGCTAGAGAAGAAATACGCATATACACACAGGTTGGTATACATGCATGTATTTCCTTGCTCTGTCATCAGAGGGCCTGAAAGAAACGACACCCAGTAGTAAATAGTACACCTTGCCACCAGATCTTTGTTTCTAATGCCATTTCCCAATAAAGGAAACCTTGGCTTCTTGAAGAAATGGCTGATTCTAGGACTGGAGTAGGAAATATACAGTAGGTGTCTAGAGAATCTTATAATGCTGTAAAGTAAGGAAGTGCTTAGAAAAACAAAAAAATCCATGTTAATAGGGGTATGTCAAAGGGACATAGGAGCCAACTGAGAGGTCTTCCAATGGCCAAAGCTGGAACAATTTGAACAATAAAAAATAAGTAAAGATGTACTGGATTATAACCCAAAGAATGAAATTAAATGTCCATGAATAGAAACCCAATACAAATAAATAAACAAGAAAAAGACAATCTTCCTTGGAAGAATTCCAGTTAATTTATGTCGATACTATGCCCTCAGTGAGAGGAAACTGAACTTCCACTCCCTCAGTATGGGCTGCACATAGTGACTTCCCTCCAAAGAATTCAGTATGGAAAGAAGGGGAGAGAAGAGTAATTTTACATTGGAGGAGCCTGACAAACATTGCTTCAGTCAGGTGATCAAGGTCAGCTTTCAACTATGGTGTCATATTAATAGTTTGTACTGTAACCCCAATCATGAAAAAAATCAGATGAATTCCAATACAGGGTCAGCCTACAGAATAACAGATCAGTGCTCCTCAAAACTGTCAAGGTCATCAAAAATGTCACAGCCAAGAGGAGCCTAAGGAGACGTGACAACTAAATGTGATGTGGTATCCTGGATGGGGTCCTGGAATTGAAAAAGGGCATTAGATAAAAACTAAAGAACTCTGGATAAAATATTGAGTTAGTAAGAATATATCAATATTCGTTCATTAATTGTAAAAAATATGCTAATTCATGATGTTAATAATAGAGGAAGCTTGGTGTGGAGCGTGTGGGAACTCTGAACTGTCTTCTCAGTTTTTCTGTAAATGTGAAATAATGTATGTTAAACAAAACAAGTGTTATTTGAAGGGCTCGCAGTAACCCAGTGCTTTCTGTCTCTCCTCCAGTTTTGAGAGTGTTTGCTGCCTCGCTGACTCCACTTCCCTCTCAGACATCACCTTTGATGGCAATCCCATAGCTCAAGAGTCATGGTACAAGCACACAGTCCTTCAGAATATGATGCAGCTGCGCCAGCTAGACATGAAGAGAATCACAGTGAGTGAGAACTCTTCTCAGGTGCTCGCCATATTGGTGAAGTTAGCATGGGCTAGGAAATGGGAGTGCATATTCTTTGCTTAAAACACTGATTTTTAACAATCTATGGATTATCGTGACTATATACTAAATAATTATAATGACAAACTTTCTTTTTTACCTCCTATCCATATTCCCAATTTCATTGAATTAAGTTCCTAGCCTTCTGTTTGAATTACTCATCATGCTTGCTTTTCATTCTTGCTTAATACCCAGCTAACAGTTTACTTTGGAATAGATGAGTGAGGATTTCATTGGTAAGTTACATAGTGTAATGGCTAAGAAGATGGGTGCTGGAGCCAGACTGCTTGAGTCTGAATCCTGGCATGACCATTTTCTAGTTGCATGACCTTTGACAATTTACTTAACCTTTCTATCTAATTTTCCTGAAAGTAAAATGGGGATCTTAAGTATGTCATATCATTGTTGTCAAGATGAAATTAAGTATTAAACCTTAGAACAATGTGAATCTTCCAGGAAACATAATATGCAGCTATTAACATTATTCCTTTTGATGCTGTATTTCTCAAAGTATCTCCTTTTTTATTCATTCTGTCTCCATGGTAGACATTTTTCACAGTAGAAGTTGTGATATGGCTTCTGATCTAAGTGAAATGCTGCTTATAGTACTCCTCCTTTTAGGTGTACAGTGCACATAAGCATACTTTAGCCTCTAAGAAGTTCTGTAATAAAGAAACTTGCCTGAATTTGTTTTGTTGCAGCCCAGATTTATTGGAACAGAAAATATCTGTTAATGATCTCAGTTTGATAATCTCTGACCTAGAAAAATATTCTAAACCTCCACTGTTTTCTTAATTTTAGACTGTGCTAATTTTATGTAGATTTTCTTTTTTTTTTTTTTTGTCCATATCCTGTGTCTGCTGGTTTCTTAGTTCCCCAGCCAGGGATTGAACTTGTACCCTCGGCAGTGAAAGCACAGAGTCCTACCCACTGGAAAGCCGGCAGATTCCCTGATGTGGATTCTGAGTGATCACTCAGGTTTACTCAATTGCCAGGTGACTCACTGCCTGTCCACTGGTTGCACAGTGTGTGCCATTCACGTTTCTACGTCAGTGATGTTGTGGACATCAAGGTGGCTAACGGGCGAAGTGTGGATGAGCTCATAAACACTAGGAATCCCCTAGGGTTCTACCTCTGTCTTTGCTCCAGCACGGAGAGAAGGCTCTTTGTCTCCTCAGTTCATTTGGATCTATGCCGGCCACTCTGTCTGGTACTTTTGCTCTTATCTTCTTGTCTTTCTTAGTTAAGGGTCTTAGTACTCTCTTCCTGTTGAGGTTGCAATGAACAGGGTGAGAAATGAAGCTTACCCATTCATATAAGTTAGTAATTATGTGATGTGTTTCTCATAGTAAATTTATGTCAGTCTTGTCTACTCAGCTAATGTATTTGGTCCTTAAGGGCAGAAGCCATTCTTCATCTTCCTTGCCTGGTACATGGAGATGTTCTATGCATGTTTATTTTCTTTCCTTCTCTATGTCATACAATGCTGAGAATGTAGTAATATTCAGTAAAGACTTTTTGGTTGAGTAAAAGTTACCCATTTCCATGCCTTAAATAAAAGAAAAGTTGTGTGAGTTGCTCAATCACAGTCACTTGTCCAACTCTTTGTGAGCCCATGGACTGTAACCCGCCAGGCTTCTCTGTCCTTGGAGCTTTCCAGGCAAGAGTACTAGAATGGGTGGCCATGCCCTTCTCCAGGGGCTCTTCTGGACCCAGGGATCGATGGGCTTCCCCGGTGGCTCAGATAGTAAAGAATCTGCCTGCAATGCAGGAGACCTGGGTTTGATCCCTAAATCAGAAAGATCCCTTGGAGAAGGGAATGGCTAGCCACTCCAGTTCCATGGACGGAAGAGCCTGGTGGGCTACAGTCCATGGCGTTGCAAACAATCTGACACAGCTGAGCAGTGAACACTTCTGGAGGACAAACAACGCTATCTATAATCACTGTCCTTGTACATTCACTAGAATGTGCTTGCTTGGTAAGGAGATGAGGAAAGTCCCCTGGGATGGGCGAGGGCCAGCTCTTCTGCTAAATATAGAGCAGCAGTCCTATGCATCTGTTCCTCCACTGTTAATTTTAGAAATTCAAAAAATTTTGATGGAAATAATCTCAAAGTTACAGAAAAGTTATAAGTACAGTACAAAGAACTTTGTTTCATTGAACAATTTGAGAATAAGCTGCTAACTCAATTCCCCAACTGCTCTGAATACTTCATGGTATATCTTGCAAGCAGAGACATTCTCTCATGTAAACACAGTATAACCAACAACATCAAGGAAAAAACATTGAATAATTGCTAGTGTCTAATCGTCACACCACATTCACATTTTACCAATTATATTAAGAATGTTCTGTGGGGCAAAATGATCCAGTTTGGAATTATGCATTGCACAGAGGTACATTCTGTTGTCAGGTTGTCTGTTGTCACTGTATTTCCTGAACAGTTTCCTAGTCTTTCCGTGACTTCATGACTGACATTTATGAAGATTACAGGTCAGTTATTTTATAGAATGACCCTTAAGTCAGGTTTTATTTGATGTTTCCTCATGATTAATTAGTAGTTATAGCTTTTTGGCCTAAATAGCACACAAGTGATTTTGCATTTCTCTTATTGTATCCTATTGAGTGTTCTGTAATGTATATCTTCATTGATGTTGTTTACTTTAAGGTGGTGCCTGTGAGGCTTCTGCATGTGAAATTATTCCCGTTTCCTTTTCTTTTGGTGTTCTGAGATTCAGTTTCCAATGTGGAGGGCAGGGTTCCTCACACCTCCAGTAAGAAGTTCTCAGAACACCAGCTCACTGTTCAAGAATTCAATTCAGACACTATCCACCTGGAGATAGCATCAGATTCCACAGGTTGAGGGCTCAGTCTGGAAAACTACACGTGTACCCGCCCTGCTCTGCCAGACGCCAGTAACAAGTCCAGGTTATTACCTGTACTTCTGACCTACTGGCAGAAACTGTTAGGTTGGCCAAAAAGTTTATTTGGGTTTTTCCATAACAGCTTATGGGAAAACCTGCTGCTGCTGCTCCTGCTGCTAAGTTGCATCAGTCGTGTCCTACTCTATGCGACCCCATAGACGGCAGCCCACCAGGCTCCCCCGTCCCTGGGATTCTCCAGGCAAGAACACTGGAGTGGGTTGCCACTTCCTTCTCCAATGCATGAAAGTGAAAAGTGAAAGTGAAGTCGCTCAGTTGTGTCCGACTCTTAGCGACCCCATGGACTGCAGCCCACCAGGCTCCTCCATCCATGGGATTTTTCAGGCAAGAGTACTGGAGTGAGGTGCCGTTGCCTTCTCCAGTGGGAAAACCTGAGTGAACTTTTTGACCAACCCAGTACTTACTAGGTAAAATGATATAACTCAGAAACAGCCAGATGAAAGGGATGCACAGGGCTTGGTGGGAAGGGACACAGAGCTTCTGAGCATACCACTCTCCCCAGATGTCCAGGTTTCACCAATCCTGAAGCTCTCTGAACCTGTCCCTTGGACTTTTTATGGAGGCTTCATTAAATAGTCATAATTGATTATATCATTGGCTATTGGCAGTTGATTCAGCCTTCAGCTCCTCTTCTTTCCCTGGAGATCTGGGAGTGCAATGGAAAATTCCGACCTTCTTAATTGCCTGGTTGGTTCTCCTGGAAACCAGCCTCCATCCTTAGATGAGGTCCAAAAGTCATCTCATTAATGAAACAATAGACACCTTTATCACTCTACACACTTAGGAAATTCCTAGGGTTTGAGGAGCTGTGAACCAGAAACTGGGATGAAGATCAAACATGTATTTCTTACAATAAATCATACTATCACACTTGTAATTCTGTACCTCATAAAAATTTCAATTTATTAACTTATTCATATCAGTATAGTCTCATGGTATTTTGTTTCACCTTTTGTTTATATCTTTTAGTAACTTTAGTTTGTAAAGAATATACCTTGTAAAAGACTTTCTATAAATTTTCCAACCTGGGCTAGTATTGACAAACACTAGCCCATGAGTGGGTCACCTGTTTTTGTAAATAAAATTATATTAGAACACAATCATGTCCACTCACTTATGTATTATTTATATCTGCTTTAATGCTACACTGGCAGAATTGAGTAGTTGTTAAAGAAACTATATAGCCTGTGACCCTAAAATATTTACCATCTGGCTGGAAAATTTTACTGATAACAGTTCTATAACTACTGTTTTCTAGCTGGAGTGGATTACATAGGCACCTCATGAACTTGTGTGTACTGTGGCTATGGTTCCCCAAACTGTGTGCCAAAGATACTGTGAACTCACAGGGGCGTTGTGGAGTATTTATAATTTTCAAGCAAAAGCCAATGAGATTTGATATCTGTGAGACCCTGAGAAAATTACTAGCTTAAGGTAGTTTACCATCTCAACATTACATCACAATGTATTTCTCTCTATGGCATTATATCCTGGCAAAGCTGACCTTTCAGTGACTGTTGTGATAAAAACAAATACTAAAATCAATACAGAGCAGGAGATGAGGGTAACAGTATCCAATCTAATTCTCATGGTTGAGAAGTTGTGTAATGCCTTTCAGATACACACATTTCACTAGTAAGTAATTATAGTTATTCAAGAGTGATATTTTTTATTTAATTTAAATTAGTATTTTTGAAATGGTTTCCTTGTGGCTCAGCTCATAAAGAATCTCCCTGCAATGTGGGAGACCTAGGTTCGATCCCTGTGTTGGGAAGATCCCCTAGAGGAAGGGAACGGCTACCCACTCCAGTATTCTGGCTTGGAAAATCCCATGGACTGTGTACTCCATTGGGGTTGCAAAGAGTTGGACACGACTGAGTGAATTTCACTAAGTTGCTAGAACATGAATCTTGTTGTTTACTAACTACGTAATAAACAGGGCTATAACATATGTTTTTTGACCTAGTGGTACCATGGAAAAATTCCTAAGACAGTCT